GTCAAAGGCCGATTCCTCAAGCAAACAGGTACGTGGATGTCAGAGCCACGTATCAAGCAGAGAGCAATATTTTTTGCTTACCAAAACTGTCAGACAATCTTGACTACTGATATTCCCATCTGATTGTGACCCCATCTAGATATTTAATGGGGTCAAATGCGGCAAGTCTCAACAACATGCAGGCTTTGGGAGTCACGATGGCACAATGGTGTATCTGTTGTTATTATGGTGCACTTGGAAACTTAGCCACCGAAGAACATCCTTTGAAGTTCGATTGCCAGAAAGGTTTACTCGTACCACGTCTTTGATAGCAGTTCACTCAGAGACATGTCTTCAATCAAGCCCGTCGACTCCCTGAGGATACTGCTCCCGGCTCGAATTGGAGCAACGCTTGTCTCGTGGGCAGGTAAGTCCTTCCACCAAACTCCTTCCTCAACTTCTTTCCTTTTTCCTTTTTTTTTGTCCGTTGTCAGCAAATCTTCGCCTCCAAGTTGAGCAACTGGCGTCCATCACCATCTTCACCGCCACAAATTCGAACAAGAAACTCATCCCAAAGGCTTGCCTATACTGCACTCTTGCATCCAGACTCAGGCAAAAGCACACAATGGCGAAGCTTACCAACCTTCCGGACGACGTTCTCTTCATCATCGGCGACTTGCTACGCCATCGCGGAATGACCATCGACGAAGCCTTTGCCCAGGCCCACAAAGATGACTTGATCGACTCGGATCGCGCCATCAGCCGCTGTCTTCTGCGCGGCTTCGATGATCTCCGGAATATATCCCTCGCCCACGATCGCCTCAAGTGTGTCATGAGACGGGCCTGGTCCACTATCAGTTTCACGGGACCGAACGCGACTCGGAAAATGGTCTCTTGCCTCAAATTTCTCAACAAACATCCCGAGGCCCGAGGCTGGGTTCTCACAGTCTACCTGAACCTCGAACAGTCTCAGCGGACGAATCACCGCTTCGACGAGACCTCGGTCGCTTTCCTGCGTCAGCAAGCTTCCAACAAGGGCGTCAAATGGTCGGAGGACGCCTGGCTGAGCAACGATCAAGGATGGCATGGTCATCGCATTGAGACGACTACTCTCCTTCTGCTTGCCAACCTCCCCAACCTGCAAGAACTTGGCCTCGCCCTCTCGGGAGGCGAGCCGATGACATCTCCCCATTACGACTTAGGACAGAACTCCGACCTCAGTTCGCTTACCCTTTGTCCCCAGCTCAGCTCTCTCGCTTTGAGGCCCGTGAAGGGCACCATTCCCGTCTTCAAGGGACTGTACTCCATCATCGGCAAGATCGGTGCTGAGCCCACGCACTTGTACATTGACAACCTCTATCCAGTGCGCATGGGTTTGGAGTCCGCAGGCCTCTGTCCCACGCTCTTCGAAAAGGTTACGCATCTCACTATCGCCGGCACCATCTCGGGAGGTGAATACCGCGATGCGTTTGACTCCGTCATGGCGGACTGTGGCCCTCTCTTGGACTTTCGGCTCGTTGGTCACCTCAGTGATTCGGATACGGATCCCAGCTATGGAATCGACCCATTACACGCTCTCGAGGGACTCCGGCAGGGCGATCGGCACACCAAGACCCTCCGCAGCCTGGTCATCGACCTTTCCGATAATTGGGTCTCTTACGGGAAGTCTGGTATCGACTATCTGGACGAGTTTGAGAATCTCGAGAACCTCTGGATCGACGGAGACAGCCTCTACCGTGGAGAGTTCGAAATTACGACCGTACACGAAAAAGGAGAGCAACTATATTATTACTACGAAGACGCTCTTTGGTCCCTACCAACAAGTTTGAAGAGAATATGCTTCACTCATGACCTTGAGCTTTTCAAGTATGTTCTCCCCAACTTTGCGGAGAATCTCGACTATCTTACCAGCTTGGAGCGCGTCTATTTGAAGGACCTTGATAATTACGACGGCATCTTGGAGGATCTGAAGGAAGAATTTGAGAAATTCGGTGTCCCGGTCACGATCACAGAGGTAGACGCGGTTCTGTGGGAGGCTTCTTGAGAATTAGCTTTCGTTGCCTGCGTGGCGGCTGGGGCTTGTCGTGGGCCATCCAGGTTATGGGAAATGGACAGCAAGATGGAATGGAAGAACAGCTGCGGCCTTTCGCCTCGTGGTGACTTTATTTATAGAATCAGATCACCCAAAACTTTCCATGCCCAGAATCTGTACCCGCCTGCATCACGTGTGACACCTCTACGAAGGTTGCCGTCTTTGTGAGCGCCCAATGTAGAAACCTGGCTGTGCCATCCAAAACGTATATCTAACCCTTGGAAGTGCCTGCATTTGCCAAAGTTTTCACGAAGGCATTTTGGGCCTTGTTTCGCACTTTTCTGTGCTAGAGTGAGTCGTTATTGTCATGTCATCATGCCTTTCATCACAGATCAACCACCAGCGCAGGCAGAAACGATGACAGGGCTCTGTGGTCTCCCCATGGAGTTGCTCCTAATGACCTACTCCTTCATTCCAAAGCCTTACACCGGCAAACGCATTTTGGATGAAATCGCCAGAGCCCAGTCCAACTCCGCCGCAGTTGCCCATGACATTTCAAAACACATTCGACGCGATCGAGCCGGACTCGTGAATCTTGCCCTCACATGCAAGAGGCTCAGCACTCTCCCTCTGGAGTCGACCTGGCGCGAGACCAGCTTTGGCTTTTACGCCAAAGACAGTCAAGAGGCCATCTTCCTGATGATTCGTTTTCTCTTGAAGGTCAGGAAATACCCTGCGCAATTTTCGTCGATCCGGAAACTATTCATATATGTTGACGAAGCGCACGCGACTCCTGCCAAGATTCCTGACGACAGCCGGGACTTCGTCATCCAGGCTTTGGAATCCATTGGTTTCGACTACGACAGAGTTATACCCGGCAACAGTTGGCATTCAGAAGTCAAGCTCAGCGAAGCCATTCACATGGACGACTCAGAAGCACTCATGGGAACCCTTCTCTTGGCCATCATCCTCCACTTGCCTCGTGTTGACGATATGGCTTTTAATGTCACGCCATACACGTGGAAATACTTACAGGAATTCTACAAAGGGTGTATGGATCGCCGGCTTGTTGCTCAGAGCCTCAACTCCAGCAGCGACGACACCGGCACACGAGACGTCGAGGGTGATGGGTCGGATGTAGAGCAGAATGCCTCGGCGCGCGGGCCGACAGGCCACAGGCAGAAGTACGCCCCGCTCAACACAGTGCGTTCATTTTCCTTTCGAAATCCGCAACGGACCGAGATAGACTGGGTCATGTGCAACCGCGGATACGACTGCCTCTTCCCACTTGCCCCGGGAGCCGAAGTCTACTCGCATGGATATGATCGCTCGGAGGTCTGTATTTTCGACGACTGCAAGTCCCTCCGCGGACAATTAACTCCAAACCTAACGTCGATCGTGCTGGTGAAGATGTTGATGGGCCCCAAGGCCCTGCGTCAGACGCTGTCCGACTGCCGGCAGCTTACAAAGTTCAACTACGTGGCACAAGGCGAAGTCGCTCACAATGGCCGAGACCTGACGGCTGGCGATGTCATTGAAGCTCTTGAGGTACACGCAAAGACTCTGAGAACGATCTGCATAGACTGCCGGAGTCTGAGGAAAGTTCACCCGATCAAGTCGCTAGAAACGTTCACCGCGCTGGAGAACCTGTGGCTGCATGTCGACTCCTTCTTCGAATTCAAACAAGGAGGTGCTTGCGATCCCGAGACGCTCATAGCAAGAAGCTATATGGCAGCCAAAATCGGATCCGTTCCCAGCATGTGTCGGAATATCCAGGAGAAATTGCCAGGACTAGCCGCCAATAATGGCACATTTGCTGGTAGGAACGACAGTCGACTTTCGGATTACGAAATAATGCATCCCGCTCTTCACAGTCTACCAGCTTCTCTGAAGAAGTTCCACTTGATCGGACCGGTGAGATTCCTTCTCTCCGACTTGGTGTCAATGTGGGAGAAACACGCCTCACAAGACCCTATCCAACGCCTGCCCAACGTCCTCGCCATCGATGAAGCTGCGCAGGATTTGCCTACCAAACATTTACTTCAATATGGCAAAATTCATGGACTCAATATAAAATTCGAGATCGATCCTCTTCCACAACTGTGGTAGACTAGTCTTGGGTCATTTGGCAGGCGGATGTTTTGTCGCATGAGGATGTGGACGTAGAGAGCATGGTCGAGCGAGCTTGAACATGTCCAGATATTAGATTTAGGTGACATGTGTATATATTTCGGTTAAATCTACACCATTAACATTGCCAAATGTCTATTCTTTTTGAAATGTCTAGTTCATGAATCTAACATGGCACCTTTTACGCTTGAGGCGTATGAGCTACCTCTTGGAACACATGTAACGATCTGAAATAAGTTTTGAGAACGCCGCGAAACCTATCGCAAAGCCTTGATCATGTGATTATGTAGCCACATGAAGGCACTCAAGGTGTCACACTTTGCTTTTTTAAAGTTATAACGCCATCAAATCTTTAAAATAAAGGCCGAGAGTGCCTTCTCCAGCCTCTTTGATTCTGCTTCTTTTCGTCCGCCAAAACCGGTTCCTCCCATTTGCAAAATCCCACTCCTAAACACGACCTCAATCAGAAGGACCCTTTACCATGGCCTTTTTCCAAGACCTTCCCCCTGAGTTGATCCTCCATATCTGTTCCTTTCTTCGCACGGACTATGGAGGGAAAGAACTCATTGCAGAAGAAGTCGATGGCGGAATCAGCATTGCTCGTAGCGCTAAAGAAAGTCGGGATACACTCTTCAACTTCTCTGCAACATGCAAGGCGTATCGGAATATGAGTGTCCACGAATTACAAGGCTCGATCGAAGTATACAATATGTCAGCTTGGCACATTACGCGCAGACTGGCTTCCATACTCCGAAATGCTCATACTGGCGCACTAAACCCAAAGTCGGTTCGACAGCTCTATATCGGGCTTTCAGACGCCAGCCCTCTGCATAGAGTATCAGTGGACGATATTACAGCAATGGATGGTGTGGCGTCGTCGATGGGTCTCGAGGCCTTCCGGGCACCAATGTCGAACAACTACCATGACCCGCAGAGCGGGATGTGGTGCAGAGCCCTCTCTAGAAAAAGCTTCGTACGATTCTTTGCGCATCTCATCGCCATCATACTTTTGAAATTCAAGAGTGTGGAACACTTGGCACTATTGCTTCCGACCCGTGTACTTCAAAACATCACGAAATTTGCCTCACAGATCATTCATATGCCCCAACAGGGTGGAAAGGGAATCAGGATTCGCGACTTTTTGACCCTTCGATCTCTGTCCATAGGGGCAGACCCCCGCGATGTGGCTAATACGGGCTCGGTGGCGCAGATTGACCCTGGATTCGGGGCTCTCTTCTCTTGGAATGCTGGAGCGGAGGTTTTCATACATGGCTTCGAGGTAGGAGATGCTCTCGCACATATCGCACCAAAGCTAGGCTCGATCATACTGAGCGGCTGCTCCATCTCAAAATCGCAACTTCATCACGTTTTGAGCAGATGTCAGGCATTGGAAAAGTTCACGTTCATCTACAGCGGCATGGATGTGACAGTTTTGTCTGCGATACCTAGTCCTGGGGATACGATTGGCATGCTTAAAAAGCACACTGCCACTCTGGAGACATTATGCCTCGATTTCCCCAGCTTCATTTACCGGAGAGATCATGGCCCCTTGCGCTGTTTGGGGGAGTTCACGGCATTGAGGAGGCTGAGTCTTTCGGCAAGCACACTACGGTGGATCTTTACCGATGCTCTCTGGGACGACAATATTCACAAAGAGGTCGGGAGAGAAGCAGCATTGGATGCAAGTATAACATACATCCCTTTCTTGAGGACTATCCCACCGTCGTTGAAGGTCTTCCATGTCGCCGGTGTGACTTCCAGAAAGTCCACGATCCCTGGAGAGAAGAGGATCGCTGCCTTTGAGGGAGTCGCGAATGGTGCGTTATGTGTTCAATATTCTGATTCAGAATTCACAGGTTTGATATGGAACCATGAAATGTTGAGGAGAAGGGGAGGTTTGATATGCGTGAGTTCTAGTCAAACCCCAGCTTTTTGGTAGCCGCGAGCAATAAATCTACTAGAAACTCCGCAACTTAGGTATCGCAGTCAAATTCAATAACACCACTCTACGACGTTTATCATATAGGTTACTGAGTACAATCGCGTCCATATGCCAGCTGGAAGCAACGAGGTTGAGGTGGTGCAACAGAACGTGGAAAGCTCATGGCGTAAATCCTGAGATTGACACGTTCATTACGTAGACTCTTTGAAACCTCATTGAAATAGGTTTGGCTCTGGGACTCCTGAAATCAACAGTCGCAAAGAATTTCGAAGCAGGCAAATATCTTAGAAAACAACCTACGTTCTGGTCTTGCCCGATTGCACTTTCCTATTTCGTCGCCTGCTTCATCATTCGCGCCTTCCACTGCGTTCGACTTTCACGTAGTGGAATTTCCACTCTCCAAAATCTCACACTCACCTTCGGGCACCTACCGACATCACTTTCCTGTCCCACCACCACTCCAGAATAACAACACGCACACCCTGTCAATCGACTAAGCAAAGTACACGCCGTTGCTGGGAATCGAAGTGCGACTGCTTCCGAGCCTGACGGTCCTGCGTGCTCGGAAATACTTTTCTGGCCAGGCAGCGCCAGTTGGCTATCCCGGCAGTGTCCATCGTCATCCGTCCTTTGTCGTCGTCTTTCTTCGTACATGTAATTCAGCGTCGCTATCTTTATCGCTACCCCTATCGTTTCTCTGCTAACTTTCTTGTAGCCGTGCGACTCGCCAGAATCGACGTCGCTTCCCCCATTTGCGTCCCTGTTAACTGGACCTTGCTCGCCAGCGGTCGGCAATCCAAGATGGCGAAGCTGACTGACCTTCCTCCCGAGATAATTCTCATGATTATCAAGATTCTTCGACCTCGATTTGATGGCAAGCTGTTAGTCGCGACAGGCCATGAGAAAGTATCGGCAGGAGATTATTACGACACTGCATTCGCCGTCAGCGACCTTCTTCACGAAAACAGTCAGAAGCGCCACGCTTTAGCGAGCTTTGCCCTTTCTCATAGGGCGTTTAGTCGAGCTGCAGTTGAGCAGATCCATAGCATTGTCGGAATTCACAATCTTCCCGAGAGCACAGGGCTGAAGAGGATGGCATCCCTTCTCCAACTCATCGACCGCAACAACACTGTGCGCACCTCTATTCGACATCTCTACGTCCACACAGAATATCCAACTTCGAGAAGGGGTGTCATGGATTTCAATGAAGAGGAGGTGGCTACGCTGCTGCAACCATTCGCGCCCGCGGGCCTTGACCTGCCTTGCCATGATTCAAGCGCTTTTGACCCGCTGCGCACTTACCTCGGTTACTGTGTTGCCTTCATTCTTATTCGCCTTCCAAGTCTCCAGAAGCTCACACTTAGTGTGTCGCTACCAACGCTGCGAATGCTGATCCGGGTTCTCTCGATCGCTCGAACTCACCAACATCCCTTTTCAACCATACCGTTGTTTGTTCCTGCTCTTCGAGCTCTTACTATCAGCAATATACGGTGGGAGCATCATGGAGAGCCGGAATTCTCCCAATGGATGAGACCCGGTTCTGAAAGATGTTTCCACAAGTCCGTCTTCCGCAAGCAGTTGAACATTTCTACAGTCACTTCTTTGGTGCTCGACGAAGTTCTCATGCATGTAACTCTCCTGGCAAAGACGCTCCGCAGCTGCTTAGCCCTGAGGAAGCTTGTATGCGTTCGATTCTCAGTTCAGATGATGTCGCCCTCGGATCTCGATGCATTCATGGATGCCATACGGGACCAATACAAGACTTTGGACACACTTGGTCTTGACCTGACCACCTGTCACTATGTGCAAAACCAGCGTGTGTATGATCGCATTGCGACGCTTGGCGATTTGCCCAATCTGGAGCAGCTGTGGATCACTACATGCAGCTTCGCCGATGACGACGAAGAAGATAACATCGATAACAGCGAAAGTCAGGGCCACAACAGTAATGAGAGCGACACAGATGACAGTAACTTGGAAGAACATGAGGTCTTCGAGACCTTTCTCCCAAGTCTTCCTGAGTCGTTGAAGCGTTTGCACCTAGGTGGAGGAGTGCGCCCGATCCGACAAAGTCTGCTGGATATGGCCCAACGCATCAAGATGGGAGGTTTGAGAAATCTGCGGGAGATTGGACTGAGCAGAGGACAGTGGGACGATGAGCTTGATGAAGCGTTCGCGGAATACGTCCCGGTGCGAACGACAGTTGATCCACGCCCTGCTATGTGGTAGGCACGATCTTGATGGAATTGCCTGGTTCGAAGATGGATGGGCAGGAGAAGACGGAGACAAGTAGGCCTTGACAAGCGGATGCATACGACAACAAGAGAATGACGTCCGTCGGTTGGGCCGATAGTAGTAAAGAAGACGATAGAGATAGCGATAACGATAATAGAATTAGATGACGACGATAGATGATGATGACGATGGACAGTGACCACGATAGACGATAACGATAGACGGCGACGGCGATAGACGACGGCGGCGCTAGACCACAACCATAACAACAATAGACCATGAGACGACAGCAAAAGAAAGGGGTTCGCGTACAGTCGGATACACAGATTACACGTGTTCATGATAGACACTGCCCATCTAGCAAAGTTCATGGTTGGATGAGGACAGTGTTTTGAGGCGAGAGAATTGAGGCAGATGAGGATTGTTGCTATGCCATAGACAATGAGTACCATCGCTCTTCATGGTCGGTCCTTTGGTGTCACCGGGCCTGCGTCGGTGGATGCCTATTGATCTTACACAACTTTTCTTTCTTTGTGGCCATGCGGCAGCTTTCTTCGACCGCACAATACGAGAAGCAAGAAGGAAGCTACTTTCAGGTACTGGAGCCTTCCTTCCTTTCTCAGATTGAATTGCGACACCTCCCACATGACCTTAGCACAGCGCAATTTCTTCACCTTCCCTCTCAACACAACTTTCACGCTGTGGCTGATTTTCGCAAATCACCAGGCTGTCAGACTCAAGATTTTATCTCAAATCAATCCACCAGCAACACAGAGGGGACGGTGACAATAAGGTCTAAGACACACGGAGATACAGAGAAAGTTATCGCCGTGAAGATAGCCGGTTTCCAGCTTCTCCTCGACATTTCTCAAGCTGTCGATCGCCAAAGCGCACACGGCGAAGATTGGTCTCTGCCAGCAACGGCCACAGCGTGTGCAACTTACCCTTCTCATTGGTACCCAGTCTCCCTCCCCGTTGTTGTTCTCCTCTAACCAAGATAGTCGGGGATAGATACCTGTTATCTACTGCTCGACACTCCCAATCACCGACGCGACCCTGTAACCCTGACACGTACCGCCTAATCATACTCGAAGCCCCCATGGCGAAGCTTTCCGACCTTCCGCTAGAGCTGGTTCGCCACATCGCGTCCTTTCTTCGCCCTGACTGGCCCGGCACATTGCTTTTGGATCACGATGAGGGCTGGGAATGGGTCCACGACATTCGAGAATCACACAACGCCAACCGGGCATCTCTACTCAACTTCACATACACTGCGAAAGCCTACCACATTGGCCTTGCGCCCGAGCTAGTGCGTTCGCTTGGGGTTCTTGACCGAACTGGCGGAAACGAGCTTCGAAAGCTGTTCAAGCTGCTTCGCTACTTGCTGCACAATCCAGCGTCATCGCCTGACGCCGTTCGGAAACTATTCATTCACCTTTACTCTGACGAGCACCCTGGAAGCACTTCCGGTTGGGACCATGCCCCTCAACGCGACATAGATCTTCTTAAGGAAGCAGCCCTCTGCTTTGGCATCAACATCTGGAGGGAAACGCTCGCTTGGAACGACGATATGGTAGGCCGGAGCATCGGGGAAACCTTGATATCTGTACCACATTCCCTAAAGGGGTTTCTGGTCGGTCTTATCATCCTCAACCTCCCCAACATCCGAGACCTAAGCATCATACTTCCCCCAGCGTCACACATGGCTGTGACTCAGCTGCTGCGTCTTGTTCAGAAACGGAGGGCAGTCGACAACGAAATGCAACCCATTCTTCACCTCGACAGCATTGCGATCAGGAACTGGAATTTTGACGACATTCAGCCCAGGGGTTTTGAGACACTATTCGATTTCAGACCCCATGCATCAATTTACTTCGGCAACTGCATTCTAGACGCGCCTCTGCCGTGGGCCCCAAACATCACGTCGCTGGTATTCCGAGATGTCAATGGCATTACGCTGTCTACCGTCTGCCAACTCATCAACGACACCCTGCGTCTGACGAAATTCATCTACATCCAGAAGGTTGAAAGCGAAAACAGCCCTGTGCTTAGCCCTGGTTCAATGTTCCAGGCGCTGAAGAAGCACGGCTCAAGCCTGAAAACTCTCTGTCTGGGAATTTTCTTGGGGTACGAAAGATTCGTCGACCAGAATCCTCCGCCCTACATCGACTCATTTGAGGATTTCCCAGTTCTTGAGCAGATGTGGATTAACTGCTCCTGCTTTGGGGACCGTTATGGTGTTAGTAGCAAAGTCCTTCGAACGATCCCAACCTCATTGTGGAGGCTTCATTTTGCTGGCAGCGTCGAAATCATTGAGGATGACTTGTTGCGCTGGGCTGAGATACTTTCGGGGAAACGCTTTGGTGAAGAGGATGACGAGGAAGACGACGAGGGAGATGACGAGGAAGACGACGAGGAAAACAATGACGCAGGCGATGGGGAAGACGATGAGAAAGACATGGTGGAAGGCCTGGAGGAAGACGGCAATGACAATGACTATGTCCATATTCCAGAGCATCTGGCTTGGGACGTCGACTTGAACAACCTCGACTATGAGGTTCATGAAGCTTTTCGGGACAGCAAGTGGGTTGACTTCTTTGAGGCCCCTTCACCTTTGCCCGGTATCTTTTAGCTAGACAATCACAAGCGCAAGGTTGCAGACAAAGATTCGATCGCGGACAGTGTTTCTCTTGCTGGGTCTTGCTTCAGATCGGGAAATGAAGTTGTCTTAACACTTGCTTACCTATTAAATTGAATACCAAAACTTTCCTTCGCACATGTCACACTCTTTGCGACTGATAATAAAGGTGACTTGGAGAGTTTTGATTGCTTCAACCCTACGACCCAAAAAGGCAGGAAGGAACCCACGCCCACCCGCTGGAGCCTTCCTTCCTGCCGTCGAATCTCAACGTCCAAAGTATATCACGTGACACTGTCCTGAGGCGTTTGCACAACTCCTCGACGGTCGACTTTCACCTCCACGTTGATTTTCTCAACTCACCTCTCGGATCTTAGCTTCGCTCTTCGATCGCACAGTGACGACGACGGCGGCAGCGATCAAAAGGCACACCCACGAAACAAAGTCGCCGCGCACAAACAAGCGGTTTCCTCAGACTTTCTTCATTCCCACCACTTCACGAGCTGCCGATTCTTGAGGCACAAACAGCGTGGGTCATTCTCTGCCCACAACCGCGACAGTAGACGAACAACCTCGTCATTGGTATTAGTCCCCCTGCTCTGCCATTGTTCCCGTCTAACGATTTACAGACACCCGCCGACTTCCGCTCGAGTCTCAACCGCCGATGCGATCCCCGATAGCAACATGGCGAAGCTGTCCGACCTCCCACCGGAAATGATCCGACACATCGGCTCTTTTCTTTGTCCCGACTGGCCCGGGGAGCTGGTGTTAGGTCATGGCTCGGAATACGACTGGGTCTCAGATGTGATTCGGAAGCAGAATGATCATTGGAAGTCGCTTTTCAACTTCTCCTATACCTCAATGGCATTCAAGCAAATCCTGACCCCGGAAACTTTACGATCAATCGGTGTTCGCAATCAAGTTCGCAATCGAAATGGCGACAAAGACGTCCGAAAACTGTTCGACTTGCTGCGATTTTTGCTCCACAATCCGGCAGCGTCGTGCGGTGTTGTACGAAAGCTGTTGGTCTTGATGCCGTCAGACCAACAACCGCGTGAGCTTCTCAACTTGAGCAACGCCAGCGATCAACGCGATATGCATTTTCTCGAGGAAGTAGCAGGAGGGCTTGGCTTCGATGTCTGGAAGGAGACATTCGCACTCAACGACAGCGAGGACGGCGACATTGTCGGGGGCATTTTGACAGAGAATGCTAGGTTCCAGCCTAACGTTCTGAAAGGGGTTTTGATCGGACTTCTCATTCTTCACCTTCCAAACATCCGAGATCTAACCCTCCAAGCCCCCACGATATCGCTGGTGGCGATGACCAAACTTCTACGTCGCGTGCAAGAGCTGAGGGCAGACGGAAGCGAAAACCGTCCGCTTCTTCATCTTCATTCCCTTGCTGCCTTAGCCAGCTGCCCCTGGACCTATTATTCTGCTTGCGACTTCGACTTTGCAGGACTATTCTCACTACGACCACAAGCCTCGGTTTACCTCCGCGAATGCCAGATTTTGGCCCCTTCCGTATGGTTCTTGAACATCACGTCCCTAGCTTTAAGGAACATGACAGACATGACGGCGTCGACTCTCACAGAGCTTATCAAAACGTGCTCTCGTTTGACCAGGTTTATTTACACTCACGAAGTGGAAGATAATCCCGACATACCGAGTCCTGGTACAATTTTCCAGGGGTTGAAGAAGCACGGTTCAAGCCTTGAGGTACTCTGTTTGAGCTTCCTTTTCTTGGGAGAGGATGAAGACGACCTTCCTTCGCCTTACATCGACTCATTCGACGATTTTACGTGTCTTCAAGCCCTTTGGATCAATTGTGCTTGCTTTGACACGGAATCGCAAAGCAGCGTACTCCGGACCATCCCTGCGTCTTTGGAGAGGCTACACCTGGCTGGAGACGTCAGTGCTGTTGCGCATGATCTGGAATGGTGGGCAGACATAATTACCGACAAGAGCGACAGCCCAGAGGAGGAGGACATTGATTCTCTCGCTGGGTGGGGGTTTTCTTCGGATGATGAGAGTGAAGACGGTGGCTCTCAGGATGGGAAGGGCGATTCTCACGACCAAGCTGAAGATGAATTGGACATAGAAGAGGATCCTTTAGAGCACGAGGAAGACGAAATGAACGACGGGGAAGAAGACGAGGACGCGGAGAGTGAAGAAGACGAAACTGACGAGGATGAGAATGACGAGGCAGATGAAGAAGAGGAAGAATACGACGTGGATGAGTACAGAGAGGACGACTGTGGTGAGTACGAGCACGACGAGGACGAGTTTGAGGAGGACGAGTTTGGACAGGATAAGAACGAATTAGAGAAGTGTGAAGAGGATGTCTACGAAGAGGACGAGTACACAGGGGATGAGTACGAGTTTACGATGGACGAAGGGAGCGAGCGCGAGGACAAACACGAGGGCGAGCAGGACGAAACCGACTATGAAGAGAACCACCAGAACGAAAACGAACAGGCCGAGAACCAGGAAGACAACCAGGAAGACAGCGAGGAAAGCGAGGACGAGAGTGACGAGGATAGCGACAAGGAGAATGAGGGTGAAGACGAGGTATACGAGAAACGGCCCAACCGCATTCACATCCCATCAGAGCTGGCTTATGACGCAGACAATTACGCGATCTCCGAATGGGTGACAGAGGCGTTTCTGAACGACGAGTTCATTGATTTCCGCAATTGTGTTGATTCAAAACCTGGTCAGTGGTACTCTCGAGCAGAAGATCCGAAGGAGCGAATGTGGATCTGGCGACGACGCTAGGCAGAAGGAGCAGCTGATTGTGGGTGGGTTTTCCTGGCTTTTGTTTTGTCGATGTATTCTACACAGCGTAAATGCGGTTGTCTTGATATTTGAAAAGAATTGAAATGGGCAGAATACCAAAAGCTTTGCGCTGTGCTCGTGTTCGTTCCTATGACAGGCGTGAATCTTGGAAAGTTGATATAGCGACGGTGGTAGCGAGAGACGCTGACTAAGAAATATGGAGGTCTTAAAGGAGAACTCAAGCGCCACATCAAGTATGAGATAGATTTTCTCTTGATAGAGTCCTGCTTGCTTTACTTGACAATTGTTGCTTCTTGTTGCTCATGTCTCGGTGGTTTTGATGTGGATATTGGTCGTCTGATGTTGAACATCCGGTTCAGTCAGAGCGCCAACGTGTCCAACGGCGACAACCTGACTCAGACAACACAAAGGTCATCAAGCACCATTCAATTGGGTTCTTAGGGCGAATTCAGCATCTTCTCAACCACCACAAGTGAGGTTGAGAATACGATGTTGCACTGCGCACCTTAAACATGTGATGTTGCATCCCGTGCTGCTGCGGCCGCCAAGAGGACCCTGTTTTTTTCTGGCCAACCTTCGGGCAGAAACCGACATTGAAACCACGATATTGGCAATAAGCCTATTTTTACAATCCTTGCGTCATATCCTGATAAGAAAGAACAGAGAAGAAGCCAGAACTCCACAAACCGGGGGCCCTTAGATAATCACTAGACCGCCTCTTGTCCCAGTTTTAAAAATTCTAGCTTCCTCAAGGGTTCCCACAGAGCCGCCACCGGGGGACCCGATTTAAATCCAAGGTGAACACTGTGAAGCAGGGCGGGCACCCATCTTTGAAAGCACACACCACTTGTGTATCCATCGACGGGTAGCACACCACGGTCACCCACACACCTGCGGCCTCGTGGACACGGGGAGCGACCTTGGGGACCCTCCTCCGCCACCTTGATCCCCGACACTAACAATGGGGAAGTTGGAATTGCGGATCCATCAAAGGTGCTTGATTTTTTTTTTTTGCTCAACAACCTGGCTGGAACGGGAACGTGCTTTTCGCCCTCCAGCAGGTCAGGCCCAGGCCTCCGTAAAACTCGGTGCCCGAACTTATTCCGGATTGTGACCTGCCTGGTTTAAAAAGGGCTGACCTCAGGGGTAACCGGCGGTGAGCTGTGGTGTTCTGTTTCTCAATCATTCAACAACCTCCTCCTGCTGCGACTCACGATAACACCTCTGTGTCCTCGTCCCCCTTAATTCTTCGTCCTCTCCGTCCGCAGAAACATCCGTCATCTCATTTCATTATCATCTTTTGTTCATCTAGCGAAAACAAGTCCCCCAAAAAAAGTCCTTTAGAATGCCTCACAGCACGGAGTCCCTCAAGCTCACCAGCGCCAACTTGTCCACGTTCGCTTCGCAGCAGGGTGAGAGGAGCGTCAAGACGCCGACCTACGCCCGCGATGGCGTGAAGCACGGCATCGTCCACGTCGGCGTCGGCGGCTTCCACCGCGCCCATCTCGCCGTCTACGTCGACCAGCTCATGCAGAAGCACGACCTGCGCGACTGGGCCATCTGCGGCGTCGGCCTGCGCCCCAACGACGCCGCCATGCGCGACGTCCTCGAGGCCCAGGACCACCTCTACACCGTCATCGAGCGCTCCGCAAAGGGCAGCTTCGCCAACGTCGTCGGCAGCATCACGGGCTTCCTCTACGCCCCCGACGACCGCGAGGCCGTGATTGCCAAGATGGCCAGCCCGGACACCCACATCGTGTCTCTCACGATCACTGAGAGCGGGTACTACTACAACGAGAACACGCACGAGATGCACGCCGACCACCCGGACATCGTGCACGATCTTGCTAACGGCGACGCCCCCGTGAGCACGTTCGGCTTCCTGTACGCCGCGCTGGCGAGGCGCCACGCCGCGGGCCTGAAGCCCTTCACCGTGATGAGCTGCGACAACATGCAGAAGAACGGCAGCATCACGCGGCACATGCTGCAGTCGTTCGCGCGGCTGCGCGGGGACGCGGCGGTGGCGGAGTGGATCGCGGCGGAGGGCGCGTTCCCGAACGCGATGGTGGACCGCATCACGCCGAGCACGTCGCCGGCGGATATCGCCTCGCTGGCGACCAAGTTCGGCGTCGAGGACGCGTGGCCGGTCGTCACGGAGCCGTTCATGCAGTGGGTCATCGAGGACAAGTTCAGCGACGGGCGCCCGCCGTTCGAGAAGGTCGGCGTGCAGGTCGTCGAGGGCGTGCACGAGGTCGAGCAGTTTGAGAAGCACAAGCTGCGCCTGCTGAACGCGAGCCACTCGGCCATGGCGTACCCGGGCCAGCTGGCGGGCTTCAAGTACGTGCACGAGGTGATGGAGCACCCCGTCTACAGGCAGTTTGTGTGGCAGATGATGCAGCAGGAGGTGAAGCCTCTGCTGCCCGAGATTGCGGGTGTTGACATCGACGAGTACTGCAACACGCTGATGGAGCGGTTCTCGAACCCGACCATCATGGACGGCATCCCGCGCGTGGCGCTGGGCGCGTCGGGCAAGATCCCGCAGTTCATCATGCCGTCGATCGCGGAGCAGATCTGGGTGACGGGCCCGTTCAGGAGGCTGTGCTTCGTGGCGGGCGCGTGGTTCCGCTACATCAACGGCGTGGACGACAAGGGCGAGAACTTTGAGGTCGACGACCCGATGAAGGAGGAGCTGCAGGCGCTGGCGAAGGCGGGCGGCAACCACCCGGGCCAGCTGCTGACGATCAAGCACCTGTTTGGTGATGACTTGCGCGGCGACGAGCGCTTCGTGAACGAGGTCGCCAAGGCGATGGAGCTGATTGCCAAGGACGGTGTCATGGCTACGCTCCCCAAGTACGTCGACTAAAAAGGGTCTGACGTTTGTTTTACTACATGCAACAACCAAAAAACTTCACGGCTTTCATGATATGGATAGATGGGATTTTGAACCTAGATGGGATAGACCTGTTACAGATGGGATAGACCTTGAGATGATGCAGCGATTATGAGTGGACTATTTTGATAGAATTAATACTACTGGAGGATATGAACAGCTTCTGCGTCTCTTGAAATTTCTTTCAGTGAATATTCTATGTTGAGTGAGAATCCCAGATGAGTGTGGTGCTTTGTTGAGTAAAATGAAACGGTTTCGGTTGCAGACATGATCTCTGTCAACGCAAGCCTCATTCTGTCAACCACCACTAAGGGTGATGGCGGGATGTGGTCCAGCAAAAGCGGTGAGTCCCAGAAAACAAACCCACGATGGTGCTCTTTCTCTCCATCTTTCTCCAGATGGGAATTCTCTGGAGAAGCCGATGCCGGTTCAGGGGCTGGACTCTGGCGGGAGCAAGGGGGCAGATGCATCGTGACCTGCTCACAGGGGCCAGGGTTCGTTCCAATTGGGGCCAAAGGGCCTGATCCGTTTGGGCCGAGACGGGGTCTCTCAGCCTCCCCGGGTGATCACCTGAGTTGATGAAACTTTTTAATGCAAGAAAAAGGGAAATGAACAGAATGAAACAAATGACATTGGGTAATGCAGATGGATGCGGGATGAACTGCACGTGGTCCATCGTCTCGAGGGAAGGAGACAACAGAAGGAAGCTGCAGCTGCTGTTGGGTTGACGTGCTTTCCCTCCCGGCCCCCGGGGCAGTCGCTGAGTGCGCTTGCACCTGCCTACTGCTTGGCTTCGGGACATCTTCCCCCTATCTGCGCTGCGACCCAGGCCAGGTCCTGCCCCCCGACCGGCAGCGGCGACCCTCCAACCGACGGGCACCGTGACACCGTGGGCCGTGGGCCGTGGCACGGTATCCGTACCGTAGGCGGCGGCCCCTTCCACGGCTGCGTCCAGTCCCTTGGAACCAGACGGAAGGAACGGTATCCACAAAGTGGATGTCACGTGCATGGATCGCCCCCAGCGATGCCGTTTGACGCAGTCCGTGCTTTTAGCGAGCCAATGATAGTAGGCAGGCAACGATTAGCTAAGCTTGTGTCGCATCGCGTCGCGTTCGTTCTCTCTTACGTTATCAGTCCCGTTACCAGCAGATAGGAGCAACCCGCCAATTAGGTGCTGCTGGCTCCTGCTGCTTGCTGCTTGCTGCAGGAAAAAGAGGCAACACACACCACCAAGAGGCCAAAGCTCCTCCTCCTTCCCCGAACCTAAGCTGACGTGACGGGTTCGCCGTAAACCCATCAGCGCACTTCACGTACAATCTCCGACTCCGAATCGCCCCCAATCGCAACCGCGTCGCAGATATCTGTCCCTGCCAATTGACCGTATACGCCTCTGCTGCGGTCGACCCTTCCATTTTGGCAACTATCCCATCAACAACGTCCCTACCATCCATCGGATTGCGCGAGCAAAGGTAAGCGCAAACAACCTCCGACCCGCGACACGTCGTTATCCGTTATCCCACGGCTTCCGAGGAGGGAACGTTTGCACTAATCTGTCAACATCACGAAATAGCTCACCCAACACCGACACCATGGCCAGACTCAGCGAATCGCCAGCCAACGGCGCGAGCGGAGGAGGCTCCCAGCCCGCGAACAAGCACCAGATCACACTCAAGAACGGCGCCCTCGGCGGCTTCCTCTCCTCCCCCGCCAAGCCCTCCGGATCGCAGTCGCCACATGCCAACAAACGCCTCAAGAGCCTGACCAGCCCCCGATCGGACGCATCGCGCTCGCTGTCCCCCGTCCCGCGCCTGCCGGGACAAGCAGCTCTCAGCTCTCCCGTGCGCAAGGCTTTTGGCGAGGTCGCTGCTGCAGGCGCTGCTGGCGCGGACGAGATGGACACGAGCGAGGACCGCGGCACCCCCGCCGACGTTGTGATTTCCGCTCCTGCTGCCGAGACGCCTGTGGAATCTACGCCGACGCCTACTGCGCCCACGGCGGACATGGCGACCTCGGATGCGGAGAAGAGCGCGGCGGCTACGCCTGAGCCGGTTGTTCCGCGCCCGGTCGGCGGTGTTGTGTCGTCTGTGTCGAAGAAGCTTACCAACGTCTTTAACAACTTCACTGGTGCGCGCAACGGAACAGCTAGCGTCACGACGACTTTTGAGCAGACGATCGTGAGCCGGAAGCGTAGCAGAGAGCCGGAGGTGGAGGAGACGCCCGCTCCTCTTGAGGAAACGCCTGCGCCCGTGGAGAAGGAGACTCCCAAAGAGAAAGAGCCCGCCGAGAAAGAGATTGCGAAGGAGACTGAGCCTGTCGAGAAGGATACAGCTGAGAAGACCGAGGTCGCCGAGAAGCAGACTACGGAGGAGCCTGAGCCTGCTGACGTCACCATGGGCGCAAACGACACCAACATCGAGCTCGGCAACCAGCTTGAGGAGGACGTTGCTGCGGAGCGTGCGAAGAGCCCTGTCAAGGAGTCATTGCCTCGTAAGATTGTCTTCTTTGCCTTGTGAACTAATTGCTAACGTTTTGCAGCTGCTCCCAGACCTACCTCCGCTGCCGGCGAGATCAGCGTCACCACTGATGCCGACAACGCCGACACGATCCAAGCCGCCGAGACGACCAAGCCAGCGCCCAAGGCCGCACCGAAGGCCGCGGCGAAGGCCACACCAAAAGTCACGCTCAAGTCCGCACCAAAGATCACACTGAAGGCCAAGGCCGCCCCCAAGGCCGCCCCCAAGGCCGCCCCCAAGCCTGCGCCTGAACCCGCGGCCGAAGACGAAGACGAGACAATGGTTGACGACCCTGAGAAGGGCCTGTTCGTGCTCGACACCATCATCGGCCACCGCAAGGATCCCAAGGACAAGACCCTCTTCCAGATGCACGTCCGCTGGAAGCACGACGAGCCGAGCTGGGAACCCGAGAGCAACATCCAGGAGGATGCCGAGGAGGCGCTCTTTGAATACTGGGACAGCGTCAAGGGCGGCCGTTTGGGTGCCATGGCCGACAAGGACCTGTGGCACGTTCTCCGAGTTGAGAAGCACAGGCAGAAGCCTACCGGCAAGGTCGAGCTGTACGTTGCTTGGACCGGATCTCCCGATCGATCATGGGAGCCCGAGGAGAATGTCACCCAGTTTGCTCGTGAACTTGTGGAAGACTACTGGGCCTCCAAGGGCGGCCGCGACAAGGTGATCAAGCCCATCGCCGCGCCTGCGAAGAGAGGCCGTGGCCGTCCTCGTAAGGAGTCGGTGGTCGAGGACGCTCCCAAGGCGGCCCCCAAGGCAGCACCGAAGGCGAAGGCCAAGGAAGTCAAGGAAGCCGAGGAGCCTGCGCCCAAGAAGCCCCGTGCCGGACGAAAGAAGGTTCCGGAGGAAGCAGAGGCGCCAGTTGAGGCCACAAAGAGTGCCGAGCCGGAGAAGGCCTCTGAACAGGCGGAAACCGATGGAGAGCCGCCAAAGAAGCGCGGTCGTGGTCGTCCCAAGAAGACGCCCGTCTCATGAGTTGGTGCGGCCGTGCCTACGCTCTAGCGGTTTGATACAGAAGATTATAGACATTTGGGGGACAGGAGGAGACGGGGGATTTGGGTCACGAGGCTTACTGGCTAAATTTGCTGTTTGGGGTGAGCTGTGGGGATTCTGATGAAATAGAGGGCCTCAGGATGATGGGTCTGGACCGTGTATTGTACGTTGTACGTTTTCCTCATATTTTCCTTGGCTCAGGCGGTTCATTATCAGGCTTTCCAATACTACGGTGATTTCAACCTCATATACTGCGTGATGTGATCATCCTCCACTTCCTCTTAGATCGAGGTGATTCACAACTTGATGCTGTTCTTCTTGGGTTCGTGTTGATTTTGGCATTACAAGCCGCCGTGTTTCTTATATGCCGTCATGATAAGTATCGGTTTACAGAGTGAGTGGTTCTAGTTACTAAACAATTACTGTAGAATAGCAAAGAAACCAAAGGCAAATGCAAGTGTTGAAAAGACATGCCACCTGCTGGTGGTGTCACCGCTGGCGAAGCATGCCGAAACCGCGAATTCGATTTCGCCGCCACAGCGAAACTGCCGTGGCCCTTGTGGGCAAAAGTTGGAGAATGTTATTCAGGTTCTTCATGCTAAGAGTAGGCTGTGATATCCTATCGACTGCTGCTGAGCTGCGCTACACCTCGCGAGGAGTACACCCAATGAGACAATACTGAAAACGATCGACACTTTTTTTTCTTCGCGAATGCCAAATTTCGTGGTTGAGCAGAATTGGAGAAAACTGGCTATTCCTGTAGATCTCAAACAGCGCAGTCCACCAGCAGTCGATGGGATAAATCGCCATCGCGCTGATCATGGATCTGCGAGCTCTATCCGCATGAGCTGGTTGAGCTGGCGAGAGATCCAAATCAATATCTTTCCGTGTATGAATGTCGTTACTTGTGAAGTGCTGCAGTTGTCATTCCTCCTGAATTGGTAGTCCAAGGGAATCCACAAGACTTTCTTGCCATTTCTCATCAGCCAGTTTTGCTTCGGGTTGGGAGAGTCAAATGCGACAGGGTAAATCCCATATCCAGAGTAGGTTGGATACCAGGGTGGGGCTTTCTGGTCTGGAGCACTCAGAGACTGCGCATTTAAGTCAAGAAATCCGTACTCAGTTTGGAGGCGTGTACCGATATGTGTATCAAATGAGATGCCACCAAAATCCGGATGATGCCGTACGCTGAACAATTTGGAACCACCACGCGTATCCCAGACTTCGAATCCAAACCCAAAGGCGACTGCAAGAAGAAGGCTATCTGACGAGAACGCGATCTGGTGAGGAGATGCTCGGCGGACGTGGAGTGAGAGGGTATTTGCTGCCGCCCTTACGTCCCATATGGGGACAACTACGTCAGCTGATACCTCCAGGTCCGGGCGCGCATACGTAAGCCAATTTCCATCTGGCGAAATCGTGAGACATATATCGTAGCCGTAACTGTTAGATGTATCGAACGCGCAGATGCAATCGGCAGTACTGATGTCCCAAAGCCTGATCCCGTCGCCTGACACGGACGCAATCTCATGGTTATGTCGGAATGCTAAATCAAGAAAACGAGCCTCGGTGGGATTTAAAATCGTCTGTAAAAGAGCGCCGGTCTTTGCGTTGTGTACCTTGATTTTGTCTGAAGTTGCGTATGCAAGCCTTTCCCCGTCCTCGGAAAAAGCCAGAATCAAATTCGGCGCTTTTTCCGCAGAAATCAGTAAGCTCTGCCACTCAGCATCGATGCCCCAGATGCCGATGGTGTTTCTGCTCTTGACGCGACATATAGCCTGGCCACCATCTGAAGCGGGGACCAGGTGCGTGAGGTCGGAGTGTAGTCGAAGATCGGTGGAGGTACTTGGAGATGTTGATATATCCCAAACTATGATTGTGCCACCAAAACATCCAGAAGCGAGTCGCTGGCCATCGCGTAGAAATGACAGTGCTGTGATTCCAAATGTATCTGTATCCATGTGCCACACCGACGTGGCCGTATCCATGTCCCAGATGTTTATTCTTCCTCGGTCAAGACATGCGAGAAGGCGGCTTCCAGCTTTGGGCGAGAAAGCTAGGCGAATCCTTTCCAAGTGTTCAGTTCTTTCCGAGCCTCCGAGCACGAACTTCTTTCTCAAAGAGCTCGTGGAGATGTCCCAAACAGAAACGCGTCCTTTGATATTAGCTGATGCTAACAGACCGGAATCAGCTGAAAAAGACACAGCTTGTATTTCCCCATCTGTGTCTCCTAGTGATTGCGGTGAATGAGCTGCGTGGACTTTCCACACATTCACTGTTTGCTTGTCGGAAAGTGCTGCTACCAAAGAGTTGTCTGGGCAAAAGGCCAACGGCACAGAAGGGATCCACCCATTGGGAGTAAATTCTTGTTCTGTGTGCCCCGGAAGGACATGGATGTGATGACTGCTCTCAGAATCCAAGATCACAACGTTTCCGTTCCCATGATGCAATGCTATCATGCAGCCATCGAGTGAAATCGCTACCGACCAAACGTTCACTTCAGGTGAATCTAGCAGGGAGTGTTCTCCTGGAAAAGTACGCAGTATGGTCCCAAGCTTTGCATCCCAAAACTGGATAGTGCCGTCATTGAATGCTACTGCAAGCTGTGCAGAATGCTTGTCGTCCTGAAAGAAAGAAATTGATTTCATTCGGGCGGAAGAGTGATCCATCTTGAGTTTGTGCACCGGAATACCGGTGTCAGCTTCCCAGATGTCGACGCGATGATCAGCGCCTGTGCATGCAAGCCATTTTCCATCACTGGAAAAAGCCATCTGTTCAATTGCGATGAAGTCACTTCCTATTACCTGAAGACACGCGTCCCAGGTTGATTTCAGCCCCGAAATCTTGACTATCCAGTGAGGAATATCGTGTCCAAAGTGGTTCCTCACGATGCTGTCTTGAGGACTAAAAGCTAAAGAGGAAGCATAGAGTTGCAATGGGTATTTCTCCATGATTTCTCTGTTATAAAGAACAAATCGGTTGGCATCTCGAATGAAGTCCGAAAGTGTCCTTGAGTCTTCGTTTACACCAGTTCCCTTGTGACGCGTTAGCCAGCCTACTATAAGAGGTACACAGAGTTAAGGAAAATAGATCAACTTACGATCAGGGTTGCGAGTTTTTGAATTGCTTTGATGCCTTTTGAGACATGACCAAGCAGAATGAAAGCCTCTACCCAATAGAGAAATCTTTTTTGAAGAAAGGCCAAGATTCCGGAAACGTAGTCTTCTCTGCCATCTCTCGATTCCACAGCATATACTGAGTCCCACAGGTGCTCAATCCAATGGAGGCAAGAATATGCCAGACTTGTCAGGAGGTTTGGTTCAGGCGGGATGACGTCTTCGATGGATGTTCCGGGCGATTCGATATTGTAGATGTTGCATTTCATGACCTTGGACTTGGCTAATGCTCTTAAAGAGTGTCTGAAAATGGCGAAGTGGCGACTTCCTAGGTCAGGAAACTCCTGGAATTTCTTTTCGCGCAAGAAGTCCGCAGCTGACTGGTGTATGAAGTATATCGTCCCATCTTGGAGGTTCAGGAATGAGCCACATGACTTTACCAGCTGTTCCACGCTCTCTGTGTTGCCGGAGATGTGACTTGGGAGCTCGAATATGTTTCGAAGCTCTTCTGGAGTGACAGGACGCTTTAGTACTGATATAATCGCCAGAACCTTTGCACGGAGCTTGTCGGTGGCTGTAGTGGTATCGCTTGGCATCATGCGTTCGTACATTTCAGTCAGGCCCGCGGGGAATGATTCCAGAGCGACTGGTATCTCATATGTCGCAACGTCTCTAAGTGCTTCGCAGACCAGAGCCACCCATAGAAACGTGTCATTCGAGTTCTCGACGAGATGACGTTCAACCTGCTCGTGAGTCTGGGTGTCGAGCTTCTTGAGCTCAGCTAGTTCCATGACTCTCGCCTTGATGTACACTTTGACAGCATCCGAGATAAGATGTTTGTTCATTTCAAGGGAAAGGGTATACTTAGTGTTCGTGTTGGTGTCCAGAGTCTCTTCAATATCTTGCCAGTTGCGGCTTGAGATGATCCATTTGGCATTATATTCGGAAGATGCCCGGTCGATGAAAACAAGGAGTCTCCGACGGTCCTTCAAGTCTATGCACTCGTCGAGAGCATCCACAATCAACAGCACTCCATTCATACACGGATCGCGCAGAATATTGAGGAGAATTTTAGACATGGTTTGCCAGGCATTGTGATCCTCAAAGTATTGCTTGCCTGTATCGTTGTACTCGGCGAGAACTGAATCGATAAGCCAAGGGTATTTCTTGACCAATTGGTAGACCAAGCCGCGCAAGACGGACGTTGCGTTGTTGAGCTTCGGCATAGTCGCTTGACAGAAAAAGTAGCATAGGCGTTCGAGCCTGTTCCTCTCGAGTTCCTTGATAATGCCACAAAGCAGCATAGTCTTGCCCTTCCCCGGGTCACCTCTAATCCAGAGGCGGCGGCTTTCAGGATTCGTTTTCCAGCGCTGGAATTCTGGGAGATCCAGGATCCACTCGTAGGATGCTTCGAGAAGGTTACCTTTGCTGTCTATGATGCGTTGTTTGTCCGCTTCAGGATCCGTCAAAAAAAGGTCTCGACGGCATTTCTCGTGCTTTTCGTCCTTCTGTGCATCCTCCTTCAATTTCAAATAGCATTCCATAGCAGACGTCACGTAGTGAAGGCCCTTGCGTATATCTTCCGCGCTAGAGTCGATTGTCTTGAGGAAACCAACCATTTCGTGGGTGTCTCCCACTAGAACCTGATCGTTGTATGTCCTAAAGTCTCGCAACAACACGACCTCGGAGGTTTTGATGGCTTCAAGTTGGCCATCCCAGTCATCGAGCTTTCCAAGATCCCTGCAAAAGGTCTTGAAACGGGCCCGGAAGTATCGACAAATGCTTTTCATTTGGTACAACAGCAGCTTCTGGTATAACTTCGAAAACTGGTCCTCGATCTTGCGCTGGAGTACAAGATGTGTGTTGGAAGCCGTTGAGCTGAGTAGGCCTACAAGGGCCCAGTACCATTCCATTCTTGATACGACATACGCAATGCCGCTGATACTGCTCTCCGACTCTTCCAAGGGGTTAATGAGTATCTAAAAAACTGTCAGTGATCGCTCGCACAGCCATCAATTTACTAACCTCGAGGGCAAGCGACACGCCAACCCAAGCAGTGGCCACTGGCGGGCTGGCTTGCACAACTTGGGTGATTATTGGCTTGATGGGCGTCGCAAATTGGATCGCATCGTTGATCTTTTTGTACACAGCCGCGCTTCTCTCCCTTTTCTTGAGTCCGTCTTCAATCATCTGCTTCATCCGGCCCCATTCCTCTTGCGTAAAAGCCGCAATCCGGTTTTCGGCCTCGTCGGTGGGCTCCGAATCAGTATCTTTGACCTTGACGGACAGTAGCTTCTCGTAGGCATCGACGATCTTAGGGTCCCCAAACTTGAGCGCATCGTATGCTTCAACCAAGAGACGTTCTTGAAGGATTGGTACAGAATGCTCGGAAGTCAACGCTGAGGTTGACGAGGGCTCGGTGGTTGTGGTTGGGGGAGCCAGCGCCTGCAAGGTCGGAGTGGTTGGGTTCTGGGGCTCTGGAGCCTTGCCAGGCACTACGAAGGTATCGGGGCGATCTGCCACTGTTCCGCCATGGCCTGTGACGATCGCGGTTGAAGGCCGAGCAGGAACAGCTGTTGCAACGGTATCATCTGAGGAGATCACGGATGTCGTTGCTGATGCATGGGTGATGCTATCCGCGGGGTCCAAAGGTCGGGAGGTGGAGTGGTCTCTCGAGGTCTGTCGGGCGGGGTCGGGTTCGATTAGCGGACTTGGATGTCTGTCTGGATTCCACGGCCGTTTGAGGAAATCCTTCAGTCGTTTGCTACGCATACTGATCAGGGTTCTAATGGCGGGGACAGGCTGTGAAGCTGGTGAAGTATGATCTGTGGTGGTCGTGATAATGGACTCGATATTTGGACGACTACTGACTGGCTTAATTCCGTGCCGACATGCCAAGGGTCTGAAGAAATCTTGTGTCCTCAGTATTTTTCGCATGAGAAGCCAAGGCGTAAGCAATCATCGTCCAGCCCCATTTGCCGCCGGCACAAACTCGGTCTTGCGGCTGCGCCAACCGTTCACAGATACCGCTGGGCAGCGTGATGGGGCTGACCTCATACTTATCCAATCAGTCGGGCGACCAGAGCACCGCTGGGTTTCCAGGGGTAACATTCATCACACTTCATTCTCGGTCTGCGTTATTTGAACAACGTTCTGGACGGCCCCACCCTTTGAATAGCGTTTGCGCCGAATCTTCTAAAGCTGGATGTCATCTAGGCGCCCAAAATTTGTAATTTAGCATGTTTTCACGCATCAAAGAGAGAAAGTTCTTTCCAAGTTGTCAAGATGCTTGTGGGCTTCTGTGTTCATAACTAGGCGATTCTATTCGACGGTTTTTAGAGAGGGGAGAATGAGACGGGCTGGGATGGCAGATCAGGCTGTGGTGCAGGGGTATAAGCTGTAAACTTGGCTGCATTTGGTAGTTTGCCAATGAAAACTCAGCAACCAGGATTCTATCCATGTTATATAAGTACCTAAGTACCTCTTCCATTACTGGAGCCAGCCCTCAACAACGCAATTCGTCCAGGCTTGCACTGGGGTCGCTGTGCCAAGCTTTCACCTCATGAGGACATCAGATCCCAACCACAGCCTGACCTCCGCAGCGAGTACATGGTCATCAGGGCTCGTACTCAAGGCTCGTAATTAGTATATATCGTTTCTGGAATGGCAATCTTCGTGAGCAGTTGGGGCCTAGAAACACCCAGAGAAGCATGGTTATCACAAAGTTAGTCGCGGCTGCGTTGTACGTTTTACTCATATTTTCCTTGGCGCAGGCGGTTCATTATCATGACTTTCAATACTACCTTGGGGTGATTTAAAAATACGCCAGTCAATATGTCTATGGCGGTGCATGGGAAGATATTGCTCAATGCGTGAGGCGGGTCCTGTGCTAGCGTGCTTGAACTAGCATACTGGACGCCTTTCATCGTGGATCAGTGGTAATGCGCAGGTCTAGACACAGGATAAGCGGCTGCTCCATTCTGAAATTCTTTCAATATCTTCGCTGGATGGCCAAAAGGCTCACAAGGTCTAGTCTCGTTCCGCGAAATTCACCCGAACCAGTCTTCCTGCCTTGGTTATCCACAAGAGACTCCGTCCGTTGACAACTGGGGTCATATCGTAGAGATTGTGTTTAGTGCTCGGCCTGAATTCCGTTGGAATACGCAGCATCTTTTTCCCATCCAACGTGATCCACTTTAGGTCTCTGCTAAAGCCATGCCCTAGTAAGTACGCTTCCAGCAACACGTCTGAAGCTGGTGCTTTTTGAAGAACCGTTTCCGAGTTGTCACGGCCTGAGGAGTCTGCGGAGTCTGGATTCGAGGTGATTGAGTCCAACCAACCCCGCCCTGGCCTATTGCAGTCGAGAAAGCCATACTGCGTGTGCAGACGTGTCTCGTGTCTGGCATCGAACAATATACGGACAAAGCCATAGTTGTGGTTTTCCAGCTTCTTTATGCAGGCGCCAGAGCTCACGTCCCATAGAGTGATCTCCCAGTACGTAGATTTCGCAAGCTGCCGGCTATCTGCAGAGAAGCTTATTGAAACGGTTTCGATGTTTCCAGTCTCATCTGCGGGCGATGTCAAGGTATACTGCTTCGTTTCCATGTCCCAAATCTTGACCATTCTTCTATTGCCAAGATTTTCGTTAAACTCGCCACATATGTAAGCAAGCCACCGCCCGTCTTTCGAGAAGATTATGAGCGTCACCCACTCGTTTTCATTGTCGAGTAGATGTCTGCAAGTACCGTCAATAATATTCCAAAAGTTGAGTCTGCCGTATGCATTTGACGCAAGCTGGGTATTGCCTCTGAAGAACAATGACGTTATGTCCGCAGTACGCGGAGGAGTAACCCCGTAGACAGACAAGCTGAAAACAGGAAATTTTCTCTTGGCGTTCTCATCGCTCCCTTCGGCCTGGCTTTGTTGCGGCTTGCTCTCACAGTACTCCTGCTTTGCCCCAACCCCTGAAAAGTTGTTCTTGCCAAAGCAATACTCGTAGAAAAGCGATTCTTCGTATTCACTAAATTTTTGCAAGCAAGAACCGCTTCTCGTGTCCCAGATTGTGATTTCGCCGTTGGTAGAACCTAGCGCGAGTTGTTGGTTGTCCTCAGAGAAGCCGATGGAAGACACGTCCCCATGGTAAATTCCTGCCATCGGCAGATCGTATCTGGTTACGTCGTCCCAGACCATAGTGTGCTTGGTGCCTGAGAAACACACCGCAAATTGATCTTCGTTATTGTAGTAAATGTGACGGTCCATATGCCAAGGATCAGTGTTGTCAGGCACCCCTTCGTTGGGCTTTGGTGTTTCCCACACTTTGATGGTACCGTCGGACGATGCGGAAATAATTTGTCGGGCATCTGGAGAGAAGGCCATTGATGTGATTGCCGGATGCCTGCCAACCTTCCCTGTAAGAGCGCCTGTCGTCATGCTCCAAACCCAGATATTTTCACCCAAGCTCGCTGCCAAAAGCTCTTTACGACCTGAAAAAGCCATGATCATGGCCTTTTGCTTCAACGTCCATATTAACTTGGTCGTTTCTAGTTCCCAAATTCTCACGATACCTGCCATGTGCACAGCGACCCACTGGCCGTCATTAGACATAACATGCGTTCCCTTTTCCCCTCTATCTTTTTTTTCGCAGTTGTGGAGGCCTACCTTTGGTTGCACCTTTTTAACTGCCGTATGATTCTGACGGGGAAATATGTGAGGGTCACGTGAGTCTGGTGGTCCAATTTGATCGGTGAAGTTTTCCCAATCCCGGGTGAACGCATACCAGATCCTAACTCCGCTTCCACTGCAGGCTGAAGCAAGCCAATGGCCGGATGAACTCGAAGTAACGTGGAAAGTGTTGTCGTTGAGCGTGTGAGAGCGAATTTCTGCACCAATTTTCTGAACAGGTTGGCGTTTTTGGTGCTCACGAGCACGTATATCTACACCGCTGTCCGGGGGAAACGATGTCGTCTTGCAGAAAGCAGTTACTTCGCAGTCGGAGATGGCATTGCCAGTCGCTCTGTCCCAAACGCGGACCGTTCCATCACACCATCGGGCAATGAACAATTTACTATCGGATGAGAACATGACTGAGCAACACTCACTGCGGCGATCATCCATATGCCACCGACTGCTTTCTGTTCGAACACAACTGCCGTCATTTGCGTTCCAGAGCTTCACGAGGCCGGATGAATCACCAGAAACAAGCCATTGCCCGTCGGGCGAGAAGGCTACGCTTCCGACGCTGTATCTGTGATCTTCTAGTGTCTGCAGACACGAACTCCAAGTGGATCCCACACCTAGTATTGCCGTGGCCCATTCGGAAACCTCATTCTGGAACAGACGTTTCACAGTGCTTTGTCGAGGGCTGAAGACTAGGGCTGAAGCATACAACTGTAACGGGAAGTCTTTAAGCATTAATTTATGATGGAGCAGAAATCGGTTCGCATCGTTGATGAATTTTGACAGATCTTGCTCCGCTTGGCTACCACTTCCGTCCTAAGCTGCTGTTAGCTACTGAGCATGAAATCCCTACTAAGGTAGGAAAGAATAATTTGCCTACAACTAGTGTTTGAAGATTTTGTATGGCTTGCACAGCTTGCGGCATACGATGAAGAAGGCTCAGGGCCTCTACCCAATAGAGAAACTTGTCATTGAGGAAGCTCTGAATCTTGCCAATGACATCGGGATTCATCAAGGACGACGGTGGAGTTGATATTTCCCTTTCGGTGCCAGCCCAATCAACCAAATGGTCAACCCAGTAGGCGCAGCAGTAATGCAAAGTAGATATGGGATCTGCGGTTGGGCGGTTGATATCTGCGCAAGAGACGTCAGGTGCTTTCAAGTCATAAATATCGCGTTTGAGATGTTTTGAACAGCTCAAGGCGTCCAGAGAATTCCAAAACATGGAGTAATGCCGCTCCGCAACATTGGGAAGTTTCGAGGTACCGCTGTGCAGGAATTCCACAGCTGACTGATGAACAAAGTAGATGGTGTCTTCTTGTATGTTCAGGAAGGAGCCGCAGCACTCGATGACGGTTTTCAATTCCTCTGGCTCCAAGTCTTGGTACAGCGACAAGGTGATGGTGTGGAAGAGCTCCCGAAATGTAATAGGGCGTTTCGCCACTGATGCAACGGCCAGAATCTCCATACACAACATTGATTCCTCTGAATCCTCGGAATCGAATATGTTCTCAATCATCCGGGCGTAAAGATCATCAAGACCTGACGGAGATCGGTTGAGAATGCTGTTAACCTTGCGTCGGCTTTTTGCTCTGCTGCCAGAAAGCTCCTGACAGACCAAAGCGACCCAGAGGAACGTGCTGTCAGAGTTATGAATGAGGTGATCTCGAACGAGGCAACAAAGATCGGCGTTGTCCTTGTAGGGCTTAATCTGGGCGAGATCTTCCATCTTTTGATCAATGTAGCTTTGTACAGCATCGGAGACACTATTTGCGTTCAGCTCCAGAGAAATAGTCACTGCGTGATCTTCTTGCCTCCCAAGCTCCATCTGGATATCCGGCCAGTTACGACTAGACAGTACCAACTTCGCGCGATAATGAGCCGATATCTTGCACAGAAATCTCAGAAGCCTTTTGCGATCTTCCAAGTCCGTACATTCATCGAGGGCATCCACAATGACCAAGACTTCGCCCAGATAATCATCCCGCAGCATGGACTCAAGTATCTTGCACAAGTACTGCCACGCGTTGTAGCCTTCAAAGGTCGCTTCGAATTTGCTGTCATATTCGTCGCGAACATGCGAAATGAGTTTCGGGTACTGTCGCACTAGGTGAAGAATGAGTCCGCGTAAAACGGCATTGGCAGTCCTCAGTCTCTCCTCACTGGCTTGGCAGAAAAAGTAGCACAATTTGTTACTGTTCTCAAGCTCTTCGATGAGACCGCACAAAAGCATCGTTTTCCCCTTGCCTGGATGACCCTTGATCCATAGTCGACGGCTCTGCGTGCTGTTACGCCACTGCTTGAACTGGGAATTGTCGATGATCCAACGATATGAGTTTCGGAGAAGTCTGCCCTTTTTCCCTAATATATGTTCCTTATCGACAAAAGAGTCTGTTCGAGAAAGTGCTCTTAGGCACTTTTGATCCTTCTCATCTTTGATACGAGCCTCTTGCTCTTGCCCTTGATGCCGTATGTCGTTTCGCAACTGAGACACGGAGATGTAGAGTTTGGGGTCTAAAACCAGTTTGCCTTAGCAAAGCCGCGAGATCACGAGGCATCTATCATATGGATGACAATTTGAATCGCTCACCGGACTCATATTTAAGTAGTCTACCGCGGGAAATGAATTGGACTACTTACCAATTATAACTTTACTCTCCCTTTTGACCTGCATAGGAGATACTATCGATAAAAGCTCCTTCGCAAATGCTGCAGCTGTTGTCGCAGAATATTCTTGCCATCTTTTGTTCTTGTGCGCATCCGAGTAGTCGCAAATACCACGGATCACCAGACAGGGAAACTCTTGCATCAGTCCTGCAGCCTCCATCTCGAAGCACAGCACCCCGAGTTCCTTTCTCAGACGATCTCGAGTCTTTCCATGCTTGATGACTTGATTTCCTGAGGCGATGTTTCCGTAGTGGACCACTGGATCAGTGTCATCTCGATCCTCCCGCTGTATCGTCTGCGTGGGGTCACAGGCATCACAGTTAGAGTCGGCATTGACATGATCGTACTCTGCCTGAAATAAGCTGTCGTTTGACTCGCCCTGATAAGTGAATTTCTGTCTGATCCTCGGTTTTGTTATTTTTTCCGCTGCCTCAGACAAGGAATGGGGAATGCCACTTTCGCCGAGTAATTGACGAGCCTTAAGACGGTTTAAGGCCGCAAGCAGCACGTTAGGCGGAGAATTAAGCGACTCAGTTCTCTCAAACTCGTGCTGTGTTGTTTTTCCCCGATCATACTGAATGACACCTCCACTGGTACCGGTAGGCTTGCTGACGACGACATCGCCAAGTCGAATGTCGTTATCTAAAGACGGTGCTCCACCTCCAATCCCAACCAGTAGACCGAATCGAATCGATTCGAAAGTCCGGAGCATATCTTTGGCGACTGTGGCAGCGGGGGTTGTCCCATAAATCCCATCTGGGAGACATGCGATGACCACGTTATGGCCCCGCATCGAGCCTAGGATGTAGCTGTTGTGGTCGGCATTATCTTGCTCGATTTGGATGTCGTAAATCTTGTCCAGCATCAGATTGGCAGCCGCCATCTCCAATGGGAGGGCACAGATCCATCCGACAGTGTAGGCATCTTTGTCTTCGATTTCGCTGGTCCCAGCTCCGCTTACAGACGCGGAGTCACTACCCGCGAAGTCCATTCTGGGTGAAGTTCATGTCAGCGTGGACTCCTGCCAGGTTTCCCCTGATCCGCTGGAGCTCACCCTACTAAGGCCTTGGAATGTTTACTGGCGTCGAGGTCAAGGCGATTCCCGGAAAATTAGCGTTTTGCCGGAAACCATGTAGCTGTTAGAGTGGTAATGATGAAGTTGTCGTAATTCGTGCTGCTATGAGGGTGATAAAACGAAGAGGATTGAGAATCTTCGGAGCGGGGAAAAAGGAAGGGCTTGAGATGAGAAGGCAGATCAGGCTGTGGTAAACACTGCAGAGATGACCGGGTACGCCATCCTCCAATGAAGGCGCACAATGTGTCCATCAACAATGGTAATATGATATCTCCGCACGCAACAATCTTCATTGGCGGGAATAAGTGCGGTGTTTAACATATGCTCAATATGTGCAGGTATCCAATTCAGAAATGCTTCTCCTCAGCCAGACGAACGCTTGCCAAACTGGTACTATCTCTTTCGGTCCCAAAACGTCACAGCTGACATACATGGAACATTCTACGCATATTCACATCAAACCAGCGTCGAGGCACTTCGCGCGGCAGCAGGCAAAGGTTGTCATCTGTGCGCCCTACTGCTCGACAACTTCAAGCACAGCATCTTCGGTGACCGCAATAGACCACCTCGGATCCTCCCCGAAAGTGCAGTAGAGATCCGATGGTACCCTGACGTTGAATACGGCACTGGGAATGAGAGAGCGACGTATCATTGCTTAGCCGCTTTTCTTCTCTCGATTTCCAAGTCCCGTTCCACTTTACGAAGTATGAAGGTCGGGCCCTCCTCGTCCTACAGTTCGCATCATCCCCTCTTTGAAGCTGACAACAGACCGCAGACAAGATGAGCTCTATTTTATCAACAAAGGCAATAGATTGCTCGTGGACAACCGGCTCGGACGACAATTTTCGGCTTGCGGCTTCGTGGATAAAGCGGTGCCTTGCGACCCATACATCATGCAATCTGATCACGAATCCTTTGGCGCCGCTTCCGACATGTGTTGTGGACGTTATGGCGAACAACTGTCCATCCGGACTCTGCCTTGTTGATGGTGCTGGACACCTGCGCCCATACATCACTCTGAGTCATTGTTGGGGCAAGTCAACGATTATCACGACGAAGAAGGCTACCATTGACCAGAGAAGGCAATGTGTCTTCCTCGAAGACTTATCTCAGACCTTTCGCGATGCTGTTATTACTTCAAGAGCATTGGATGTCCGGTATTTTTGGATAGACTCGCTTTGTAAGTCTAATATCCATGCGAGCAAGGCAGCCCCCACTGATGCAAGTCCGCTTAGGTATCATCCAAGACTCGACAGATGACTGGGAGTCTGAGGCAAAACGTATGTGCCAGTACTACACCAACTCCCTCATGACCATATCGGGAGTGAGTTCGGCTGGTGGCGAGGGTGGCCTGTTCGCTGCACGACACCCTGGCCTCACGTCTCCAATACCGATAGAGGTCGCCTTCCCTCAAGGTGAAAGAATGAAAGGATTTGTACATGCACTGTACTTTCCTGACCCGGCACGTGACATCTGGGGCGATCATAAGCCTCCGCTGTGGACACGAGCGTGGGTCGTTCAGGAGCGTGTTCTATCCCCCAGACTACTTTTGTTCTCGTCGACCCAGATGAGCTGGCAGTGCCAAGAAGAAATTGCATCAGAAAACATCCCAGAAGGTCGCCCGTTGGAAAGTAGCGAGCAAGACGCTGATATGCGGTGGTCAATCACTGGGTGGCAGCGTGAGCAGTCCACATCTCAGAAGTATGAAGATCTTTACGCGTCGCCCATTGCATCGCACAGACTTTATCACGGGTGGTATGAGATCGTGAGTGAGTACACGCACTGCAACTTGACCATGCCCTCCGACATTTTCCACGCCGTTGCTGGGATAGCGCAGGCGCTTCAGTACGCATTGAAAGACGACTACATGTCAGGACTGTGGAAAAGAGACATTCACCGAGGCCTTGTGTGGGTGGTGTCGGAAGGGGTAAAGAGCCAGACGGCGCTTAGGTCCTATCGTGCGCCGTCTTGGTCGTGGGGCTCTTTACCCGGGGCTTGTAGGTTCGTGCTGTCAAATGCCCCTAGGGAGTTCATCGACACGACGTGACTAGATATCCTCGGCTTCGGCAAGTTAGGCCCCAACGAACCACGGCCTGCGCTGAGGGTGAAAGGCAGGCTGCGGAAGGCATATTATATGCCTTATGTTGAGTATGATTTCCAAAAGCACTTCCCAACAAAGATTAAGCGGGGCGATGACCTCGCTGACGCAGAGACTGGTGAGTCTCTGGGGGCAGTGACGATCGACAACAATGAAGTCTCCCTTCTCGTTGAGATCTGGTGTTTGCCCGTCTGTCTTGTTAAGTCCAACGTACCAGGGCACGTCCGCAAGCGAACAGCTGCAGGATACGCGGAATACCTCTGTCTTGGGAAACATCGCAACATGAAGTCGGCTCCTGTTTGGATTGAAGGACTGGCCTTGCAGTGTCTCGATACGCAGCAGCAGATCTACATGAGGGTTGGAAAATGGCGATGCGAAGACCTGAAGTTATTTCGGCGGCAACAGTGCCACACCATATTCATAGTATAGATGCCATAGAGGCAGTTAGCAAGTTGATGCTTTCCCCTGTCGTGGGTTGAGATTGACATGGACAGAAAGATTGGATGACAATGCGAAAACCCCAGAAAACTACCTTACGTAACTGCGCCAAACCTTCTCAATCGAGTGTTTAATTTTAGTGTAGTAGGAAGTGCACACAAGCCCAAAGAGGATACGCCCGGTATTTAGCACTAATATTAGAGGCATTGTACTGCTAGGCTCTCGGGTGTCAAAGTCAGTCCCGGAAGCACAAGTGGGGCCGCAATCGGACCCGGTCACTGGGCGCTAAGGGCCGAAAAGCGCCCTTTCCCCAACCGCATGTTTGCAGCACCTTTGCAAGCTATTTCGCTCATTAGGGGAGATCAAAAGACGCCGAACAAATCCAGATTAAAACAATCTCCAGAACCAAAATCATTGACGTAATGATTGCTTCCTTATCAGACAATGCCCACTACTGGCCGAAATCCAATGCATGATGCCGGAGGCCGACAACAATCGCAACCACTCACAAGCGTGTTTTTGGAGGCCAGCGAAGCCAAGCGCATGTCTTGCGACAGGTTTTCGCCTTTCATTCACGGGGGCTATGTAAAACGCAGAGTTTTTGCGGCAAGCTGCTGGAGGACACATTTCACTGGCGGCCCTGTGGCGTGGCATTTTGTTGTGACCAATTGGCAGCGGTTCGGCTCCAAGTTGAGTACATAAAGCACCAGAACTCATACTATCCATCAACTGTTGGCACAACCTCAGTTTCTCAGCTTCAACTCACACTCGTGTCACCGAAATGGCCACCCTCGAGCATCTCAAGCGCGCTCTAAGGGAACCCCCCAAGTCTAACGATGCACTCGCCAGCCAACCTTTATCTAATGAGGAATACAGCATGAGTTTCAACCTCTTCAAAGAAGGCTCAAACGCATACGATGGCTTCATTCTGTCTCAGCTTACACAAGTCCTTACTCCAATCTTTAAAGCACGCCTCCGCGTCTCTGTGCTGGAGATCGGACCAGGTCCAAAGAGCGTACTCGGACACCTGCCTTTGAAAATGAGGCATCAGATCACAAGTTTTTCTGCACTTGAGCCGAATGGACTATTTGCTTCGCGGCTAGAAGAGTGGCTCGAGTCGGCGGACGATAAAGGGCTGCCGCTGCCCTCCCTAGAGAGTCGACCGGACGTGAGGTGGATTCCTTTCGATCCGAACAGCTCCAAGGAGACCTTTTACGATGAGAAGTTCGATGTGATTCTCTTCTGTCATAGCATGTACGGCATACATCACAAACACGACTATCTCCGGGCCGCCCTAGACCTGCTCGTGGACCACCCAGTAAACGGCACGGTAATCGTCTTCCACAGAGATGGTCCACTTCACCTAGACGGCCTCATACCTCACCAAGTTTCACCTTTCCCCACAGGGATTGTTCGAGTGGAAAACACCAATGAATCGCTGGACCACTTCACCTCATTCATCGCAGGCTACGTGCCAGAAACCACCGCTATCCAACTCGAATGGCGCAATGTCTGCCGCTCCCTGGGCCGACGCGACGAGGGACATCTCATCTTCGCCGCGCCGGAGGTCATGATGGCTTTCACGCGACATTCAACAGCACTACCGGAGCTCACTTCGAGGGTTCCGGTTGCAGACGGGGAGATGCAGGTTAAGAACCGGGAAGCACGTCTACATCGCCCGGCCGCAGGCATCAGACCTACCAAGATTCAGCATGTGCAGGAGTGTGTCAGATGGGTTTTGGAACACCGCATGGCGTTGACTGTTGTGGGTGGTGGGCATAGCGGTCATTGTCAGTGGCCAAATGTCGTTGCAATCGATATGAGCGCCTTCAAGGAAGTGCATGTCCTGACTGACGCGAAGGTTGGAGGTCTAGTCGTCGCCGGAGCCGGCTGCAAGACAGGCGACATCATAGCAAAGGCCATGGAAGAGGGCCTCACCGTGCCTCTAGGCTCTAGACCCAGTGTAGGGGCAGGTCTATGGCTTCAAGGTGGTATCGGTCATCTAGCCCGCAATCACGGACTCACATGCGACGCCATCGTGGGAGCTAGTCTCGTCAGCGTCGACTCCGGACAGATCATATGCATCGGCCACGTACCTCCCAACCATCAACCCGCCGGCGCCATACGTCCAGAAAACGAAGACGACCTACTCTGGGGCATAAAAGGGGCAGGAACCAACTTTGGCATTGTCATCAGCGTCGTGTTCACTGCGCAGCCTGCTCTATTCTTCTCAGTTCGGAAATGGATCATCCCCATGAGCGACGGCGACGAAGCGCACCGTAAGCTTGGCGATTTTGATCGAGCTGTGATCAGCAAGCTTCCCAGGGGCAGTTCAGCAGACGCTTATCTGTACTGGGACGCTGGAGAACTCCATCTCGGCGTAACCATGTACGAAGCTACAACCGCCAAGCCAGCACTAGGACCACCTCCACCTGTCGCTTCGCCAATCGCCAGAGCTCTGGAGGCAGAGTACAACTTCAGAATCGTGGACAGTATCGGCCTTTTTGATACTGAGATGTACATGTCGACGATGCACGGCGGACATGCCGGTGGCAAGACGTCCTCGTTCAAACGATGCATCTTTCTCAAAGACATCGGGGAAGCCAGTATTGCCAGCGCACTCATCGCAGCCGTTGAAACCCGCCCTTCACCGCTATGCTACCTCCATCTCCTCCACGGCGGCGGTGCCGTTAGAGATATACCGGAGACAGCCTCGGCGTTCGGTTGCCGGGACTGGAACTTTGCCTGCGTGATAACCGGCGTCTGGCCGCGTGAACAGGATGGAACTGGCCTTGCGCGGACTGTCGTGGAGTGGGTGTACTCAGTCGCCGCGACGTTACTGCCAGTGAGCACTGGGATCTACGGCGCTGATCTCGGGCCAGATCCACGAGACGCCGCACTCGCAGCCAAAGCATTCGGACCGAACCTCGGCCGTCTTGCTAGACTCAAACGCACCGCGGATCCGCGGAATGTCCTCGCATATGCCTGTCCGCTTCCAACGAAGCCGATGGAGCCGGACCTTATCATCCTTGTGACGGGAGACAGCTGCGTGGGCAAGGACTACTGCGCTGAAATCTGGACAGACCTCTTCAACAGAAACGGAAAGACGGCGCGTGTTGTTAGCATCAGTGACGCCATCAAGCGTGTATACGCAACAGCTACTGGCGCAGACTTGGAGCGCTTGCTTCACGAGCGGAAGTATAAGGAGAAGCATCGACCGGCTCTGACAGCTTTCTTCCAGGACCGTGTGCAAGAACGGCCTCGGACTCTGGAGGAGCACTTTCTGGATGTGGTTTACGGCGCTGCTGGTGTTGATGTACTTTCCATCACGGGTATGAGAGACGAGGCGCCCGTTGCGGACCTGAGTCACCTTGTGCCGGATAGTAGGCTCATTGATGTCCGTGTCAATGCCAGCGGGGAGACCAGACGACTTCGAAGAGGATTGCTCAATGGCAGAGAAGGATGTAACGGCAATTCGGCCACGTCGAACGCGGAGTACAGCCCCAGCATGGAGTTCCACAACGACGTCGAAGGAAACGAAGCACTGACTGACTTTGCTTCAAAGCGATTGCTTCCCCTTGTCCATGACGACTTGAAAAAGCTAGTCGACATGATCCGCATAATCCCTGACTTTCCTCGTCGAGGCATCGACTTCCGTCACGTACTTGACATCGCCCAGAAGCCAGGCGGGTTGGCTCTCAGTGCTTCGCTACTTCAATCTCACTTCACCGGCGATTGGGACAAAGTAGATGCAATCGTATGCTGCGAAACAGGCGGCTTCATCTTTGCGTCCGCGTTGGCGATGCAACTTGTTAAACCGCTGGTTCCGGTCCGAGAAGCCGGCAAGCTGCCCCCATCTGTATTTTCTGTGACCAAGCCTGCGTCGCATATCTCTTCGGGGGTTAACGGAGTACATGAGAGACGGATCGAGATGGATCGCGACGTGCTGCGGAGGGGAGCGTCGGTTGTGGTGGTGGATGATGTGTTTGCGTCTGGAGAGACGATGCGTGCGATACTGGAGCTGTTGAAGCAAGCCGGTGTTGGCATGGAGCAAGTTAGGGTGATGGTTTTCGCTGAGTTCCCTCTTCATCGTGGAAGAGCATTGCTCCGAAGTCGTGGATTCGGGCGAGTCAATGTTCAAAGTCTTTTAGTTTTTGGAGGTGCCTGAGGTCAGAAAAAGAGGAAGAGTAGTTGTAAACCAGCTGACCGGAAAAGAACTAGAAGAAACTCTCAGGATTTAGGAAGGAAGTGACGGTCCTGACAGATGTGAGGTGAAGTCAATGTCGGCGCCCCCCACTTGGAATGCGGCCCCACACCGAACCCGCACCGAGCCCGGACCCCGATGCGGCTGGGCAGGTGTGTGCCATGGCCAATGGCGCCCTCGAACGCGGACAAAGAGGGATGATTTGCAATCGGTGGAAGGATGGGGATTCAATATCCTGTGCGGTGAGCAAGACAATATCGGTGACATACTGATCCCAGTGTTTGGCCTGCACAAGGTGGTATTGATTTGCACTTCGATAATTCCTGTGGTTCTCACAGCCATTGGAACCGCATAAGTGGGCAGCGAACCAAAGTGCAATCCTCCAGCTCCGAAGACCAGTGGCTGGTTGTGGATTGTGCAGTGGCTGCTTACATGCCGATCTCCAGTGAGATGACGACTGCCGACCCAGGAAGGCGACATCCGGAATGTGACATCACCGCCGTTTCCTCCTGTTCTTGGCGGCTCGCGTCAACGGACATGGAAGTCTTCGACATGAATGAGAATTTACTGAAAATTTGATTGCAATACGGGATATCAATATCAACGCCTTTTCCAATCCCCGTGACTCGCTGATATATCCCATAGATGAACCCAAAATCCCCCTAACAAAGCGGTATCATAGAAAGCAAACGTAGCTAACCCCAAAACCTAAAACACCGTGATTCCGTAGAACGTACAATTACATTCTCATCACTGATTCATCACCGCCCCGCCTGCACGTAGTCTG